TTATGGTATAGGACAAATATGAGTTCCATGTAAGTATCATAATGTGGTACCAGCAAACATGTGAGTGAGCACATGCACACCCACCCACCAGATCCCCACCTGATGTAGAATGGTACAAATCCAGATGCTCAACCGGTATACAGATGCTCACCGTGACTACACAGAGGTAATATATACATGCCATGTATACAAAATACAATTTTTACAACTGGGGAAGCTGGCTGTGACTCTATAGTTAAGGTCAAGTTGAGTCTTGCATGCAAGATTCGACTCTGGTGTTTTTACACTTTACATACACAAATGGCCACCATATTATTCTGTTAATAAAATCCTGGTTTATTATAAGAAAAGAAACCAAAAGAAATGGTGCTGTGGGGAGGGGAATCCTGTCTAAAGCTGATAAAACAAGCACAGGCCTATGCTGATACAAGTTATAGCACTAGGGGACTGATTGGATTTTCAAGATACTACTGTAACAGGGAAGGTGACACAGCAAGGGAACCCAGGGATAGGAAGACAGACTAGCAAGCATTACCTCAGAGGCTATTTGAGAGGTAACTTTCTAAACACCATCTTATCCTGGATGAAGGAAGATGCATGAGGAAAGCAATGCTCCATCACATTAATGCCAACACTGACCCAAACTGGGTCCTTCTCCCAGTTTTCATCAGCACAGCCTTCTCATTTTTCAGGCACATCATTCAGCACATTTAAAAATCACTCTGTAATCACCACACCACAGCTACCACATGGCAGCACTATCAGATGTAACTGATTGTAGACGGGTGCCCCAGCTGGATCACCCAAAGGACCCGGAGTAGGGGAGTCTACTTCTTAAAGCACTAGCCCCTGCTCCTGGAGGGCCTGGGCCTGGTCCATGGTTTGGAGACACCAGTGGACTCAAATCCCTGTAGGCAGGTTGGCCACTAGAGGGGGACAAAATGCTACACTGAATTATCAAAGGTTACAATTACCTGACAGTTTGTTTTACCTTGGGGATCTCCTGATAGATTTAAGCAGCTAATTCCTGGCCACTGTGAAAAGGGTACAGTAACAGTTTATTTATGAGGGCAAACATTTGTGCAAAACTCTCCCAGGCCCAGGTGGGCACGCTCTTTGAGCAAACAGGACTGATACTGCTTCAGTGGTTAACAATTAGCAGAACCTGGTGGCTCACGGTTCAACACTAAACCACCAGCCTTTAAACAAAACAGGTTTCTGTAAAGAGCTGTGTGACTAATTCCCACAGCTGAATGCAGGTAAAATTCCCACTGTCTGCTGTAAAAACCCTGAATGAGTAAGGACTAGAAAGGACTAGGGCCAAGGTCAGCCAAACAACTGCATATACAAGAGGCTCCAAATTGCAACTGAAGTTACTTAATACTGAACTACATTTCGCAATTCCTCTACTGCTGGAGGGTTTCTCATCAGGATCAAAGTCCCCGTCCTTGCTCAGCAGTACAGTGGCTGTTAACAGTAGGGCTAGAAATGCTGACATTAAAAAGCCACTTCCTTGACTGACATTTAGGTCACAGCCCAAAGCGCTTTTCGCCACATGAACCATTGAAGGTCAAGCTGAGCACAGCCAGGACACCTCCTGCTTCAGTGCACAGGAGTTTCTCTCTCTCCCCCACTCTGTGCCTGTGTTCAGGAAAGTCATACCACACACATGCTCAAGGGATGCACAGCCATGGGAAATTTTAGTCTCTTAAAAAAATAAAATTCATTCCCTACTCTCAATTTTTGCAGGTCTACAATCATATTTGCTCATTTTGTCATGTTTCTTTCAGTTCTACGGCCATGTGGAAGACCCACCCAAATGAGGAAACGGAGAAGCTGACTGCTTGAAAAGAGTTAACAACTGCACAAAGCAAGCTACATGCAAGCAGCACGTCAGCTTTTGCTCTACTTGCTGCAAGCACAAGAATCATGGATTCCTACTACACACAATGTTTACATAGAGAAGTGTAATTTTTTTTAAAGTTGGTGATACCCATTTAAACCAGACTGTCAAGATTGTTTCTGTGAGGCATCAGAAAGCATGAAGCTATCAAGAAACTGTATCAAGTTTGTTACAACTCCAGTAATTACCTGGCCTACTCACAAATTACACTTTCCTGGATTTATCTATGAAACCTGGATGCCAGAGCTCCTCCTTTTGGTGCAAACGCAGTGAGCTCATTAGGCACATTTATATAGCAGTGCCTTTTGTCTGAATAGATTCCACAGTGCTCTGCGACTGACATGCACGTCAGAGTGAAATAACGCACTAAGCTCATACACTTCCCAGTTCATCAGACACCACCGTCCACAGCAGGGATCCTGCCAGTGTGCTGACTCAGCACTGATGGGGGGAAGGGGGGGGAACACCTGCATGCTGAGTCACCAACCGCACATCCTGTAGCACCCTGTGTTTCCCTTGGAGGTCTCCTGTTTGAGCTGATACCCACCCTGTGGTTAACACTTTTTTTTTTTTTTTTTTTTTTTTTACAGGATCACAGCTCAGCATGGTATGGCTCCAGGCCAACAGGGAGGTTTGGAAGGTGTGTAACAGAAAGGAGAGACAGAGACAAAGGAGGAAACCATGCACAGAGTTGGGGCAAGAAGCCAAACCATGCTCCGGTGCCCAAAGCTGACACAATGGCACCCATGTAAGAAAACCCATGTAAACTGCCTTCTGCTGACAGTGAATCCCTTTCGGTTGGCGCTAACATATTGCACACTGGCAGGAAATCTTGTCCGTCCACCATCAATTGTCAGAATTTGGTGGGGAATTAACATTTCAAAGCTAAATTTACTAAGCTGGCCAACACTATTTTCCTTCAGCATCTCAAACCAATTGACCTGGGTGGATCTCTAGGTTGGTGCAATTATAGGAGTGGCGATGGTGAGGTAATAATACTCCACTTCTCTGCACCAGAAATCTGAGCGAGACAGGAGGGTGTGGAATCCAAATGACGTGGGTTAGTGCTGCCTTTAGTATCACAGCCAGTTAATCACCTAACAAGACAGAGTTTAAGAGGAGGCTGGAAATGAGTTGTTCCTCTCTGCCCCAGCAGCCTGCATTATTTAAGCTTCTGAATGGGAGTGTAACTAGAGAGAGGAGGGCAACAGGGAGGCAGGCAGGCAGATGTTCTCACCTGAGGCTGCTGTAGCATTTGTAGGGGTTGAAGCAGCTGCTTGATTCCGAGCATGAGCAGGGATGAGGATCGAAGCCAGAGATGGGTTACTTGACAGTTCTGGAGGGAAGGCGAAACAAACAGATTTAGCTTGCAGTCTGTAAAGAACCTCGGCATGCAGAGTTACTCCCTGGGCTTCTCAGTCACTGTAACCCTGAGTGAAATGCAAAGCCGGACAGACAAAGGACATGTTACACTTCCTTTTGGGTCTCTGAGCAGGAGGAAACTATAGGGATATTCAGCGGAGAGCATGAACGGGACACCTCTCTGACAACTGCTAGCAGCAATGCAGGGACTTAGTTCCCAGAGAAAGGGGATGGCTCTGGAGTTAGCAAATAATCCAACCAAGCCTGTTCCTTGAAAACAACCCAAGCTTTCCAAGTAGGATCCCTTTCCTTCCACAGAATCACCCTCTTGCAGCCAGTCAGAAGGAGAAGGCTAGTGACAACACACTGGGCAATGGCTCAGGAAGCGTTTGCCACAAGGGCTCCAAGAACTCCAGGGAGTTGCTCTAGGGCTCACTCAAGTTTCACTTGTCAGGGTCTCAGGACAGTTTCACAGCAGAATCACCCTGAATGCTGCCTGGAGTCAGGGGGACAGGGGACTCGTGGCCCCTCTAGAAGGCCCAGGGAAAAAGCCAAGGGGACTGGTTTTCCAGGTGATTTAAAAGGAAAACAAACTGCCACAGGATTCCCTCCAACTCAAATTCAGAGAAAAGAAACAGCTGGGTTATTCGGGCTCCAGAGCTAGCACAGACTTGATGCATATAGGAATAAGAAAGCCTCCTGCCACAGAATTAAAAATTTAAGCACACCAGGGTACAGCTAAGACATCAGGTGCTGCCACTGCAGGCAGCCTGCAGGAGCACCTCTCTTCAGGCAAATAAGGGATGCAGAGATAGAGGATTCCCTGTCCCCTATCTCCCCCCAGCCCATTTCAGCCTTGAGTGAAAGCCATCACCTGTACAGTAAGCTACACTCAGCCAGTCAGCTCAAGAAAAGGAGAAGTCAGCTCTTGGGGCTCCAAGAACTCTCCTGGGGGACAGAAGTGCCTGGAGAGAGTAGGTATTAATAGCAGCTCTCCAGACAGAGAAGTATGTGAAGAAACCCAGCCTAATCATGCCACGCGCACACAGGATGGTGCAGTACTATGGGCTATGTGGACTGCTTGTTTATATCCGTAACAGCAAATTAGAGAGCACATTGTTTTTTCTGTAACATGTACATTCAAATTCAGGGTCTAAAGGGACTGCCGCTATCCATTTGTTTACTCCCTTTTCTCCATAAGAAAACCAAAAGGAGCAATGGCTGAGAAGGTGAGCTGCATTTCATTTTCTTACTACCCCTGGAGTCTGTGCTTCTGGCTGTGCCTCAGCACCAAAAAACACAGATTTGGACTAGCAAGAAATGAGCAGGATTTGCTACAACACCGAAACCAGACAACTCACCCTGAAGCATACCACCTTCAGGGCTAACCAGCCGAAACTATGCTTTCAGAAGCCTCTAACTATTCCAAGTGCTGTACAAATATTTCCTAAATAATGTTCACAGCCTCCTGTGAGATGCTAAGTAAGATCTCCATTTCCAGACATGGAGATGGGCACAGAAGGTAAGTGACCTCCCAAAGACAGAGAGGAAGCCTGGCAATCAGGCCGCTAGCCCCTTCCCTATAGAAAGGGCACCACACCTCTGCTGTTTTCCTCAGAATAAATTCTTAAACCTGATATTCAAAGAAACCCATTGGTTGCCTTGTTCTTTCATACAACTACTGGTGCTCATGTACATACTTTTCTCTTCATCGTGGGCATCAAATGCAGGGGAGGAAGGGGCAACCAGATCGCTACCCAAACCAAGAGCACAGCAAGTAAAATTCACTTTGCTTCACATTTCTTAATGCAAAACAG